TAGTAACAAGTGCCTTACTAGTAGTAACAAGAAAGCTAGTAGGAACAAGTGCATCGCTTCTAGTAACAAGTGCCTTACTAGTTGAATGCATCGCGCAAAGTTTGCCGACGGAAGTACTGACGCACTGACGGCCAAAGAGCGCCTGAGGATTGCCAACGTGAGCAATATCATGCCCCAGGAGTGAGCTGTGTCGGCTGTAGAACCGAAAATTCTCAGGCTTATCATAAGTGGCTAAGCACTCCTCAGATGTACCAATCAATGAACACGATGGTCAAAAAGGCCCCTAGTCCTTTCCAAATTGCTTCTCAAGTTGCAAAATCTGGCAACTAGCTAACCAAGTTGCTGACATGGTCTGCTGCCATGACGGCGCACCTCCCACCAGGTTATAATACAAAACAAATGCGACTCAAATCTTCATTGTGCGCGTGTTTTTCAACAATGATTCATGAATAAATTGTTGTATCGATGGCCTCCAATCTACTAACTAGCAATGGCCTCCAACCTACCAGCGATGGCCTCCAACCTACTAGCGGCTAGCTATAGCCTCCAACATGAATAACTGCATTAAAGATTCAAGTTGGTCACGTTCAGCTGTTTGATGTTGCACAACCACGTTAAGCTGTTTGCCACACCTTTGAGCACCATGGCGCCCTGAGTGCGATTCCGATATCGGAAAAAGAGCATGTTAAATGATATTTTAATATATTTTACATCTATTTCTGCAACTCAGCCGTGCACTTTCAACATGGCTTCTTCGCGTTCGCTGTGCGGCCGAGTTTCTGGAGTGGACCCCAGCTGCCGCAGTTCAGCCTCGCCTGAGATAGAATGGGTTTGGACTTGTTTTTGGGATTTACTGCTGGGCAGGTTTGAGCTCTCTTGTCCTGTGTTTGCAAGTGGGGTGTCGGCCATTGCTACTAGGTTGGAGGCCATCGCTCTTAGGTTGGCCAGGCTTCAAGGTGTCCAAGCTGGCTTCATCTAGTTGGCCATCCAAGCACAGCTGCCGACAGAGCCAAGCCATCGGCAACCTTCTTTGGCCACCTGAATACTAGCAATGCCCTTTGCGCTACTAGTAGCTTCTTGTTCCTAGTAGCGATGGCCTCCAACCTACTTGCGATGGCCTCCACCTAATAGCTTCCTTGTTACTAACAGCTTTTACTGCTACTCCTTTGCAGTAAACGTAGTAGACGCTCCACCAACGCGACAAAAACACTTCGCCGGACCGAAGCCTGCCACAGGCCAACTCTATTACCATCAGCTTGAGATACTCGGCGCGTTTGTCACGTCGAGCATTCACCGAATAGCAACATCAAGCAGGGTCAGACATCTTTGCCGCCAAGGCAGGAGAAATAAGCGAAGCGGGATTGCGTGAGCTGCATCAGGCAAGTCTGTGCTGATTTCATTATACTGGCAAGGCTGCTGCCTCACACACGGCAAAGCTTTGCTGCAAAGTTCTCAAGTTCCCGATTCAAGAGGGTCAAACGCCAAAACACCTTCCGGTTGACATGCACATGAGCCGACGTCTGAGCACTTGAGGGCGAAGAAGCAGTGCAAGAAGACATGCTTTCTTTAAAGCCACTGCGAAGTTCAACGTGGAAAGGCACACGGCACACGTTGGCAACAGGACGCTACTAGGGGCTCCTGGCATCGCTACTAGGACTACTAGGAGCATGGACGCTACTAGGTGCTCCTGGCAACGTCCAAACACACTTCAGCCACCCTCCCAGCCCCTTGATCTGCTGTCTCCATTGCTAAAGCATATTGGGCCTTTTAAACTTTTGCGCCTTGAGCCCCCGAGCGAAGAGACCTCCCCAAGGACCAAAGTGGAGAAGCTTAGATGAAGTTTGCCTTCCATCACAGAACGTTAGCAAACGCCGGCACGTGGATTTATATAAGCGGCATTTGCTTTTCAATGGCGAAAGGTGGATTTGGAGCATTTGGTCAATCACGGCTCGAACATTTGGAGACACCAAGAGCTCACTGCCCGCCCAACCTGGCACAAAGATGTACCATCTGCCATTCTTGTCAACAGCACCCAAAGATCTCACAAAAGTCAGAGATGAAACCAACATGAGGCAAAGCGGGCTCTTAGGGTGGAGGCCAACACCACTGGAGGAAGAAACTGTGAACACCGCACAGCGCTGCACTGCTTCCGGCGCCGCTCCCAACCTGAGCGTGCTGATGCGCACCGACCCAGAAAAGGATGGAAGGATAGAGGATAGAGGAGCAGCACGTGTACCGGGTAGAATGTTAAGGCCTTAGGGGAAGTCAAAAAAAAAACCAGGAAGAAAGGAAAGCAACACATAAACATGGACAGTGAGGAAATTACGATCTGCAAGCACACGAAAAAGCACACGTGAAGTTTCAAGAGGCCCGAGAGCTGCACAGCAGCAACAAGGGGGGGGGTAGGAGCAAGGACGGTACGAGCGGAGCAAAGGGCATCGCTACTAGGAGCAAGGGCCTTACTACTAGGAACAATGTTTGCCATTAAAACTAAAAGTAAATACCAATAGACTTAAAATACAAACCCACAGAACCGCCCCAAAGCGCGTGGTTACTGGCGTCAGTTAAAGTCATACATGTGCCCACGCGGGATTATAGAACCAGTGTCTTACAGAAAAGTCAGGACTTGTGTCAAGACTAAGGCCATTTCCCAATGGAAAGTCTGCTCAGGACCTCCGCACTGCAGCCCCCGATGGCATGCAACACGCATGCCACATGTAATTTTTTATGCGATTACAAATTTCTCTTCTTCAAGTCACTATGCCGAATGAATCTAGCCACCACTCTCTCTCCCTCTCTCTCTCTCATCCGTGAGACCTTTCACCATGGTTCCATCCCTGAGAGGTCCAAAGAATACAACTGGTCCGGACACACTCAAACTAGGATCCCACAGAGCGTGTTTTTAAAACAGGATCCCTGTCCGGCCCGCTTGTGTCGCCTTGGCCCCTCCACTTCCAAGTCGCAGCAGGCTTCCCAAGTGAAGTGCTCATCCCAGCAGGACCTAAATCAACATAACGACGCTGCTAGTAACAAGGACGCTACTAGGTTGGAGGCCATCGCTTTCCCATTTTTTGTAAGCCTTCCATAGTTCCAGCAATTATGTCAGGTGGTGTTTTACTCTTTATTGGCACTACCACAGCATATTTTCTCAGAACATCTATCATTACTAAACCCGCTCTGAATTTGTGTGTTGTTTCAATGTCATCAGGTGATATAAAAAATATGTCAAGTTGGTAGGTATGATTGTTATGAGGTGCTACAAAGCTGTTCTGACCTCCTTGTCTTTTCTTTATCTCAAGAGTTCTAAAAAAATATTCAACATCAAACATGTTTATTTCAGAATATTTTTTGGCATCTCTTCAAAGTTGTTGCTTTACTTCCATAACCCGCTCTATCAAAATATGCACTATTCAATATTTCTTGCATTGAACTCACTATATAAAATAATATAACTATGTTTGAAAAAAAAATTGTTCAAAAATAATCAGTGAGCACTACAATTACAATACTTAAATTACCCACAGAATGGCACAGTGTATTGTCTAGTCTTTGTGCTGTGAAGTTTGTTGATAATTTGCCTTGCTGCATTTCAAAATCAACCTGTCTTCCACAGTGGGCACAACAACCATGGAAATGATTCAAACACCAATGTTCATTAATATAGGTGTCTTCATCTATTTCTCTATCAGCCACTTTATCCTGGTTTTTGTATCCTTCAATCTTGTTTTTAACATATCCTATTACTAAATTATTTTGCATCTCTTCATCTGTTTTTTCATTCTTGGAAAAATATACATTGTGAAAATCCCTTGCTCTTGTGATACTGCACCGCAACCATTCTCTGCTTGCTAGAATCTGGCGGCCCAAGCAGACAGGGGACATCAATAGGAGGAAACATTACAATACTGTACATGAGTGGCAAAAATCATATCTAGCAAGCAGAGAATATGGTTGCGGCGCAGTATCACAAGAGCAAGGGATTTTCACAATGTATCTTTTTCAAGAATGAAAAAACAGATGAAGAGATGCAAAATAATTTAGTAATAGGATATGTTAACTAGACGACGAGTGGCCCGAAAGCATTTTTCATCACGTAGGAAGTCAGAGTGCGAGTTATCTGTTAAGTGTGCAGTGTGAAGTGTTACGTCGAGTGAGTTGAGGTAGTGTGTGGGTCTCTGTGTGTGTGTCTATGTCCGTGTGTGTGAGTCTCTGTCTGTGTGTGTGTCCGAGTAAGTTGAGGCAGTGCGTGGGTCTCTGTGTGTGATGTGTGTGTATGAGTCCCTGTCTGTGTGTGTGTATGTCCATGTCTGCTGCTGGCGCAGGTCTTCACTGTACATATAGTCAGCGAATTACCGCGGAGGCCTCCCAAACCCCCCACCGGCGGCCAAGCGGTGACAGGTGACAGCCCAGCTCATCGTCGTGAGCATTTGGGCTGCTGGTAAGGGGAGAAGCAGCGTGCACGCCTCCAGGAAATCTCATTGAAAAAAGCAAGCTGGAATGAAGCGTACTAAGGTTGCACTACATAGCCGCCAGCTCCCCAGATACTCCGCTGCTCAAGTTGCACTACCAAGTCACCAGTTCTCATCTTCCCACTCCCCAGTTCCAGCTCCCCAGCTACTCGGCGTACTACAGTTGTACTACAAAGTCGCCAGTTCTCAGCTTCAAGCTCCACAGACTGCTCCGCGTACTAAAGTTATACTAGAAAGTCGCCAGTTCTCAGCTTCCAGCTCCCCAGCTACTCCGCTTCTCAAGTTGCACTACCAAGTCGCCAGTTCTCAGCTTCCCACTCCCCAGCTACTCCGCTACTAAAGTTGCATACCAAGTCGCCAGTTCTCAGCTTCCAGCTCCCCAGCTACTCCGCGTACTACAGTTGTACTACAAAGTCGCCAGTTCTCATCTTCCAGCTCCCCAGCTACTCCGCGTACTCAAGTGGCACTACAAAGTCGCCAGTTCTCATCTTCCAGCTCGCCAGATACTCCGCGTACTACAGTTGTACTACAAAGTCGCCAGTTCTCATCTTCCAGCTCCCCAGATACTCCGCGTACTAAAGTTGTACTACAAAGTCGCCAGTTCTCATCTTCCAGCTCCCCAGCTAGTCCGCGTACTAAAGTTATACTACAAAGTACACCTCTCGCCGGCGTTTCGCGCGCTCGACACGCCCGATCTCCGCAGAGGGTTGCGCGCGCACAGACCCAGTCGATCGCACTCTCGCCTGCATTTCGCGCACTCGACACGCACGATCTCCGCAGAGGTTTGCGCGCGCTCAGGCCCAATCGCACTCTCGCCTGCATTTCGCGCACTCAACACGCACGATCTCCGCAGAGGGTTGCATTTTCGGTTGACGCTGTTCGTCCCACCCTCCGCCTTTAAGAGAGAATTTATAAAGTGGGGAAATGTTTTTTCATTAGGACATCTCCCGTGGTAGTTTTCCATACTCACACTTGCCTACTCATTGCATGCTTGCATACTCATCACTTGCATACTTACACTTGCATACTTTGCACTTGCATACTTTGACACTTGCATACTTTGCACTTGGATGCTTTCGCTCTTCCACTTACACTAAGGTACGTATAGCGTTCATGTTGTAGTGCAAGTGTGGTGGAAGTGTCAGTGTGTAAGGGTAAGTGTCGAAGTGTCAGTGTTCAAGGGATTTTCCGGAAGAACCCTTCGCAATGCTTTCGGGAAAAACAAGGTTGAAGGATACAAAAACCAGGATAAAGTGGCTGATAGAGAAATAGATGAAGACACCTATATTAATGAACATTGGTGTTTGAATCAGAACTCTTTCTGCAGAAGCCCCAAGTTCAAAGACCTCTGGATTTTTTTTTTTGAGACCCAAGATTCCCAAACCTCTGGAAAATTGTATTATTTTGTATTTATGAATACTCAAAGCATCTGGTCATATCTGAAATGTCTCTATCTGTGGCACGATTTCCAGAAAAAACATCTGCAAACCAATGGAAAACTGCACTCTCAGGGACACCCGTTCTGTTCTTTTTGGGGGGGGGGCGCGGCCCGGCACTGAACCTTGGTGCCAGCACCCGCTTTCTCAGTGCTTTTTTTTGCCTTGAGACGGCCTGCAAGCACAACGCAAAAGGGCACCAAGCCGGGTGTTTCTTCAACTCTCTGCATCTCATTGGATCTCTGTAAGTCACACAAATTCCACGCATGTCTTGACTCGAGGAACTAGAACGAAATAATTACCGCAAATGATGCACAAAATGCTAGTGTCAACCGTTACGACATCACTCGCATCACCTCGCTCTCCCTCAGGTTCTGGGTTCACCCTTCTTGGAAACCTCTTTTCGTTGATTCGTTCTTTTCGAAACACACCTACTTCAGCCTAAACACACCCCCTTAGAAAACTCACTGCGTTCGCCTACTTCACTAGCGAACCTTGTTACTACTAGTAAGGCACTTGTTCCTAGTAGCGATGCACTTGTTACTACTGCCGTCCCGAGTGGCGGGAGGCCAATGCCCCAAGGTCCAGCGCAGCACAAATCGAAGCTGAAGCTTCCTATCCAACAGCTCACCATGGCAGGTGCATCGAAGGAGGCGTTCTCCGAAATTGCTCACGTGTCAGCTCTCGAAGACCATTCTTTGGAAGGCTGCGCTGTTACATGACGTAGGACTTGAATAGTCGGCAAGGTATGCCCTTGATGCTCTTGTTGTGGGCATTGCACTGGGCATTTCTTGATAAATACCGTTCTCAGCAATACTTGCTACCACGAAGTCGCGCATGTGAGACTTGGTCCATGTTCAGCATCCATGTTTGAAACACCATAAATGTTGAAACTTCTTAAAACTGTCAAAGAAACCTTCACCAAAAAAAACATATACATATAACTCAAACATTTTTGCATGAATACTTTGCGCGTTCAGTCCGTCCAAGTGCGGCAGATCCTCCAGCCGACCGGCGGTCCGGCGGTCGACGTCCACGGCTCCCCGCCGTCACGGCCGACGGCCGCGCGGCTTCAAGACAGCTCGGCTACGCACAGCCGTTTAGCTTGTGTCGCTTCCAGTCGGTTCGCTGGCACTCCCGGGAACAATATTTCACTTGTCGGCACTTGCTGCAAACCATCAAAGGACTTGTCGGACTCTTGCCACAGTGTTCGCAGGTATGGGAGTCGATCGTGGCTATCAAATCACGTGTGGAAGCTGATGCATCACCCAGTTCTAGCAATGCTCGACGCAAAGGCCTTACATCCCCAAATTCTGACAACAAAGAATTCGTTGTCCCAGTATTCGCAGCATGCCGAAGAAGTGTTTCAAGAAAAGACACAGCAGCTGACGATCGCATCAGAAGCAGGCGGAAAATGTCCTCGGCCAACTCCTTGCTCATTTCAGGCCACAAGTTATATCTGCTTCCAAGTGTCTCCAAGCAGCGCAGTATTTCTCCAATCATCTTGCGTTGATTACACGCGTGGAGTGCTCCACAGAGGCTGTTTAAGGAGTTGTGGACCGGAGCCAAAAGCTCCTCACAGCCATCAACCAAGGCCAAATCGGAAAGGGAGGATACAATTGTTCCCACCACATCTTCTTCATCCTCCAAAAGATCTTCATGCTCGTTCTCATCTTCATTAAGTTCATTCTTCTCTTTCAACAATCTGAAGCGCTCTAGTCGCTTCAACATTGCCGAGATGGCCTCGGCACCTGCTAGTTCCACTCTGATTGCTTCATCGCCAGCGATCCCTGCCAATTGTGATATCGTCTTCGCCGCAGCTGCAGCCCCAACGGCATCCCCGTCCAAAAGGGCCACAATGGCCTTCACTGCGCCGGAGGAAATGAGTTGCTGTCGAAGCTTGGCGAACTCTGTGGCACGTCGAAGCTTGGCATGTTGCGAACGGTCGAGCTGCGCGTGTTGCGCTTCAAGCACTTCAGGGGAATCGCTCCCCAGAAGCCCAGTCAAACGTGTCATTAAAGCCTTCCGATCCACCGGGTGTTTGGGTGAAAGCAAAGTGGCCGTGATCACGCCTAAAACTCCAGAGCCTGCAATGCGCCCCTTTAAGGAGGGCCATTGTGCGGCGGCACACAATGTTTCGAAAATAGCAACCTTAAAGGCACTCATCTCCATGGTCAAAGCTTGTGCTAAGGCCACCATCAACCCACCGCGGCCTCCCGAGGCGTCAGATTTCATTGACTCACCCATGGCCACTGCGATGAAAGCCTTTCAAGAAATGATGACATTGACATGTTCTTTAAAAACATGCGAAAATCGATGGCTGTGTTAATGAGCAGTTTTCTCTTCAATGTTTTTGGTCTTTGCGACGGCCATAGGGTTCTTACTTCAAATATCTTCAAATAAGAATGAGCGCTTCATGAGCACTCATGAGTGCTGGGCGCTTGGGTGACGGTGCTGTGAGCTGGCTGTGCCGGTGCTGGTGTCAGTTGCGCCGTTAGTTGTCTGTGCACGCTGTGGTGCTGTAGACTGTGCGGCGGCTTCACTTGGTTCTTGCTTCCATGTGGTGTCAGCAGGCCGTGGACGCTTTGGAGAGATGTCGGTGCTGGTGCTGGGCGCTGGTGCCGGGTACTGGTGATGGTGGTGGTGTTTCGATTAATTTGGGCCTTGTACATATTGCTGTACGCGTATATTTCTACGCACAACAGATATTCCACGGCTTGCACGCATCTTTTATAGGCATCATATTGCTTTGATCGGGCAATACGTATGCTGGAGCAGCATCTTTAGAGTTTGATCAAAGAACTAGTTGAGAACGCGGGGACCTCCAGAGTAGTGCTTGCGTGTGATGCTTGTGAAACCTAGGAACTGTACTGTGTGCGCACGTTTGGAAACATGAGTCTCCCCACTTGTTTGCCTCCTTGATTGCCCACTCGCGGTCACTGGAAGCTCTAGTTGGTTTTTTGCGGTTTAGTTATTTATTTGATGTTATGTCTCAGGGGTTGTCGTTGTTTAGCGCTAGTTAGTTGCTATCTAGGGTCTACGCCGGTGTAATTCATGTCTTAATCGGCCTCCAATCCATCACTCTCCGCGAAGGCCTCTGCTCCGCGAAGGCTCTCCTCGCAGCACCGCGCGCACCAGCCTGCAGCCTCGGCATCCTCCTCGAAGAGTGCTAGCAGCTACTAGCAGCTGCTATTGGGTAATCTACTAGCGATGGCCTCCAACCTAATCAAACTAGACGACGAGTGGCCCGAAAGCATTTTTCATCACGTAGGAAGTCAGAGTGCGAGTTATCTGTTAAGTGTGCAGTGTGAAGTGTTACGTCGAGTGAGTTGAGGTAGTGTGTGGGTCTCTGTGTGTGTCTATGTCCGTGTGTATATGAGTCTCTGTCTGTGTGTGTCCGAGTAAGTTGAGGCAGTGCGTGGGTCTCTGTGTGTGATGTGTGTGTGTGTATGAGTCCCTGTCTGTGTGTGTGTGTATGTCCATGTCTGCTGCTGGTGAAGGTCTTCACTGTACATACAGTGAACGAATTAGCGCGCAGGCCTCCCAAACCCCCCACCGGCGGCCAAGCGGTGACAGCCCAGCTCATCGTCGTGAGCATTTGGGCTGCTGGTAAGGGGAGAAGCAGCGCGCACGCCTCCAGGAAATCTCACTGAAAGGTGGAATGAAGAGAGAAAATTGCCGAGGCAGGTGCGCAACAAGTGTCGAAGCAGTGACCTGTCAGAGGAGATGCGTCCATCGATATACGATCAGAGGTAACGTTTCCTTCACTCCAGGACAGAGCTTATTTAGGATGTAGTTCACCAACCACTATGCTTGTCATTGACTAAATCACGGTCTCAAAGAAAAACGCGACAAAGTAGCATGAGGTGACACACAGCAAGCACCGCAGATGTTTAGCGTAGTCTCGCTGTTCGGCTCGCGACCCAGATACTCCGCGTACTGAAGTTGTACTACCAAGTCGCCAGTTCTCATCTTCCAGCTCCCCAGCTAGTCCGCGTACTCACCAGTTCTCATCTTCTAGCTCCCCGGATACTCCGCCTATTACAGTTGTACTACAAAGTCGCCAGTTCTCATCTTCCAGCTCCCCAGATACTCCGCGTACTCAAGTTGCACTACCAAGTACTACCAAGTCACCAGTTCTCATCTTCCCACTCCCCCCAGCTACTCCGCATACTAAAGTTGTACTACCAAGTCGCCAGTTCTCATCTTCCAGCTCCCCAGCTACTCCGCGTACTAAAGTTGTACTACAAAGTCGCCAGTTCTCAGCTTCCTGCTCCACAGATTGCTCCGCGTACTAAAGTTGTACTAGAAATCACCACCTGATTGGGGGGGGGGGGGTCCTTGAACCTGTGAACACACCGCATTCCATTTTTCTCCACTGAATTGTCTGAAAAAGCCCTAGCCACTAAAGCCATGCCCTACCAGGAGCCCTAAAAACAATGAAAAACATAGGTTTTTCTCATGGTATGAACTGTATGAACACCTTTGTGTTGTGGGGGCCCCTGGTAAAATGTATGATCTTGTGATCCTACCGAGCGAGGCTAGCCGCGTGCATCTTCTCTTCGCTGCATACTTCGCCGGTCTCTTTTAGCCTCCCGTCAAGATCCTGCGAGTTGCAGGGTCAGATCAAAAAGGCAAAAGGGCTCTTGGACGACTTGCAGGATTTGTGGCCCTGAGTTTGACCCAGTGGATCCTGTGATAAGGTTGCACGTGATAAGCAAGAAAGTCCTGGGAAATTGGGATCTGTGAGCTGGAACCTGGTGTTGGAACCTGGTGTTGATTGCGATCTGGAGATCTAAGGCCAATCCCGTCACCACAAGCCTGCCGTGCCTTTAGACCTCAGTCTCGAATGTGTTTTTACATTACAATCTGAAATAGAGTTTTGTGACATCTGGGGCTGGGTCTGTAACAAGCTAAGAAGTGCTGACATATTGAGTATTAGGAATGTGCCCCAATGAAGAAGGACTAGAGGGAATACAATCCTGGGACATTAGTGTTGGGACATTGGAGCTGGAGGTGCACTTTGTCTCTGAACTAAAGCCTTCAGGCCTCGGTCTCGCATGAAATTTTATAGTAGCTTGAAATAAAGCCTTGAAACATATTTACAAGGACAGCCTTAGGACACTGAAGTCCTGGAATATTGGAGCTGGAGGTGCGCTTCGTCTCTGGATTGGAGCCTTTAGGCCTGGGTCCCAAATGTAATTTTACGTTAACTTGAAATTGGGTCTTGAACCATAAGAGCGGGAACAGTCTTGAGACCTTGGAATCTTGGAGCATTAAGCTCGTGGGAGACCGCGGCGCCTGGTTGAGATGCTCGTGTCGTTTCAGTGAGATGCCCAACATCTGGAGCTTCTTCCTGGGTGCCGAAGTCGTCGGACGGGGTGAAGCTGTCGAGGTCCAGGTTTAAGAAAGAGAGTCGAGTCGACGGGGTGCTTTTGCATGATGAGACGAAACGAGTCTAAGAAAACAAGAGAATATCATAATTGGTTTACATGTGAAAAAAAGAAACATGTTTTACATGTTAAAACGAAATATCATGAAACAAATTTGTGGGAACAATGGCCTGATCCAGCCTCCCAGAAGTACTTGGCTCGAGCGGAACGGTTTCTGATTGTGACATTCATGTAAGGACGGTCCCACTTGTTCCAGAGTAATCCCTGTCTCTGTCGGAGGTTCAGGAA